AGACACACACACACACACACACACACACACAGAGACACACACACACACACACACACACACACAGAGACACACACACACACACACACACACACACACACACACACACACACACACACACACACACACAGAGACACAGACACACACACAGACAGAGATGCACACAGACACACACAAAGAGCGTTACGGCTGCTGAAGCACTCACACTGTTTCACACAAGACCGCACACTTTATTAATATTTTCATTAGCCTCTCACTTGTCAACAGCGTGGCAGACGGTGCCGCAGGTGTCTGCCATATCATCCACCAATATGGCCACCCGGTCTTTCACATCTCCCACCAGAACCATGCGGTCCACCTCGTTGGCCTTCTTCCTTTCTTTGTGAATGAGGGCAAAGTCAACATTTAGCCTGTCTGCAATGGAGGTGACCCTGTCGATGGAGAAACACAGCTCAGGGATCAGCCACGACACACACTAAACAGGCAGTGAAGCGGACGCCTCCAGACCTCTTGGCTCCTCCAGCGTCAGGAGACACGATGGTGCAGTTCTTCCACTCGGGGATGTTCTCCTTAATCCACTTCAAAACGGCAGGCTCTGCATACAAGTTGTCCACTGGAATGTCAAAGAAACCCTGAAGGAAGAAAGCACCAACTCCAAGATCAAAACAGCACAAGTCATCTTTTGAAAATAACCAGCGCTTCAACTAATGTTTGTGTCGATTGCATCGTTTCACCACTAGGAGGCGACAGCTGCCTGTTAAAAATGAGTTTGTCATTGAATCATTCATTCCAGAGATTTGTTCAAAAACACTGATAAAGCGGAGAGTTCCGGTGCTTGGTTCTGATTGGCTGAGCCGCGTTCGAAGCTGTTGTAAATGACTCTACAAAGTAACACACACCTTTGTTTACTTCTGTGTGTTGCTCAACAAACACAACTGTTTCTGAGGAGCTACATTGTTTGGTGGAAGAATACTGTTTTTATTAATATCATTACACTTTATTTGCTCTGTTTTATTTTGTGAACTAACTACGTATATGGAATAACCGTTTTATAAAAGCAATAAGCCCATGAAGCCGTGGTTTACAGTGAATCTATAACAGCTAAAAGGGGGCTTTTGCATCGCGTTGTGCCTAACAACGCCCCTCAGCTGTCATAAAATACACTGTAAACCACGGCTTCACAGGGCTTATTGTTTTATTCCCAACTTATCCAGAATCGTGCCGCTCTAACACGTAGGTACAAAACTTACAAAGATTGCATATTTTTCCCATCAAGAAAAACAAGTCGTGTTTGCAATGCAATCAGCACATTTCTTCTGTTTTGCGTGTGTGTGTGTGTGTGTGTGTGTGTGTGAGTGTGCGTGTGCGTGTGTGTGCGCGTGTGTGTGTGTGTACGTGTGTGTGTGTGTGTGTGTGAGTGTGCGTGTGCGTGTGTGTGCGCGTGTGTGTGTGTGTACGTGTGTGTGTGTGTGTGTGTGAGTGTGCGTGTGCGTGTGTGTGCGCGTGTGTGTGTGTGTACGTGTGTGTGTGTGTGTGTGTGAGTGTGCGTGTGCGTGTGTGTGCGCGTGTGTGTGTGTGTACGTGTGTGTGTGTGTGTGTGTGAGTGTGCGTGTGTGTGCGTGCGAGTGTGTGTGTGTGTGTGCGTGTGTGTGAGTGTGCGTGTGTGTGTGTGTGTGCGTGCGAGTGTGTGTGTGCGTGTGTGTGTGAGTGTGCGTGTGTGTGCGTGCGAGTGTGTGTGTGCGTGTGTGTGAGTGTGCGTGTGCGTGTGTGTGCGCGTGTGTGTGTGTGTGTGCGTGAGCGCGTGCGTGCGCGTGCGTGTGC